TCATTCATCCGGAATTGATTTTGAGATTCCAAATATACCACGACAATCTACTCGACGAGTAGAACAAGTTGGTCTATTTACTTTTGTAATTTGACCATCGGATCAAATCCGAATATTTGGCCGAAGTTGACACGAAAATCACTTTTTCCAAGTTTTTGTTTTATCACTTAACCAAATTTCAATCTTTCAAACCAATTTCCAAAGTAAAGAACACTAAAATATTGTTCCTAGATACAAAACTCGGTGTTCTAAATATATAGTCTTCATTTCAATTTTCAAGCTATCCCCAGCAGGTTTTGAGAGAAAATATAAAGAAAGCATGCAATATATTCTGTTCATATAAAATATGAAAAAAAAAAAAACAGAAAACCCTTTAGGCACAAAAGAATTTAACTTTACATTTCCGTAAAATAATCAGTCATACAGCTTCTATATACATATAATGTGTCATTAAGTATTATACCTCTGTGCCATCACAGTTACAGTATCTGCCAGGCTCATTGTTCGACTCTGGCAAGCAGAAACACGGGAAGTAAGAAAAGATGTCCGAAGTGCAGCTCTAGTGAAGTCATATGCCCCATTAGCAATGATCTTCTTGATCAACCCAGTAATTCCATACAACTCTTGTTTTGCACTCAAAAACCAGATTGAATCCAAAGAGATGCAGAGAGCGTCATTGAGAGTATGTGGATCTGCCAACAAGATCAGACTCCCAGAGAGCTCCCAATCATGTGAACTCACAGCACCCTGAAAAAACACCCTAACTCGATTCTATCTCGTCTACTAAGCTTAATCTCATTCTTCCCAGGCTCAGAATCTGAAGCAGCCAATCTGGATTTAAGTTTCTCAGCTTCACAGCTACATGTGGATATGCTCAAATCCTCTCGACTTACTAGTGGAGCTTCCCTAGAAAAAACCACATTCCCATTGCTTCCACCCTCAACTTTTGGCGAACAAATAATTGCAGTCACATTTCCATGGTGAATACCATTGCTCGGGATCGAAT